ACTGATTTTAAGTGTGTGTGGAATCCATTAAGGGTAAGCAAACCAAACACAATAAAATAGGTGCCACAAGAAGTAAAGAGCTTCTTGAGTTAATCCATACAGATAGCTGCGCATTACCTATTCCATGTTTTAGTGGAGAAAAATATTTTGTCACCTTCATTGATGATCTATCTCGTTATGGTTATCTCTATCTAATTCATGAAAAATCTCAAGCTGTTGACATGCTTGAGGTGTTTGTTACAGAAGTCGAGAGACAATTGGATAGAAAAATTAAAGTTATACGATCAAATCAGGGTTGGGAATAGTATGGTAGATATGATGAGATGGGACAAAATCCTGGCTCATTCGCTAAATTCTTAGAAAAACGTGGTATTTGTGATCAATACACAATGCCTGGAACACCACAGCAGAATGAAGTTGCTGAACGTCGTAATCGTACTCTTATGGATATGGTTAGGAGTATGTTAAGTAATTCGATTGTACCCATTTCACTTTGGAATGAAGCTTTGAAAACCGCTATGTATATCTTAAACCGGGTTCCCAGTAAGGCAGTCCCCACAACTCCCTACGAGGTGTGGACTGGTAGGAAACCTAGTTTAAGACATTTACATGTTTGAGGTTGTCCAGCAGAGGCTAGAATATAAAATCCAAATGAAAAGAAATTGGACCCTAGAACAATTTCTGGATATTTTATTGGTTATCCACTAAAGTCAAAAGGGTACAGATTTTACTGTCCTAACCATAGTATGAGGATAGTTGAAACTGGAAACGCCAAATTCTTAGAGAATGGTGAAGTTAGTGGGAGTGTTGAATCAAGAAAAGTAAAACTTGAGGAAATTAGGGTGGATATTTTACCATCTTATTTCCCTCAAGATAAAGTTACTATTCAACCTATACATCAGGGTGAAACAAATGATTCGCCACTCCATTCACCACTTCATGAAGATGTTATCATTGGCAATACTTTAGAACCACCACAACCAGTAGCTTTGAGGAAATCTCAAAGGGAAAGAAAATCTGCCATATCCGATGATTATGTGGTGCATCTACAAGAATCTGATTTTGATATTGGTATTCAAAATGATCCAGTTTCATATTCATAAGCCATGAAAAGTAAAGATTCTAGTAAATGGATTGATGCTATGAATGAAGAGCTGAAATCAATGGACTATAACGATGTATGGGATCTTATCGAATTGCCTAAGAACAGTAAGAAAGTCGGTTGTAGATGGGTCTTCAAGACTAAACGTGACTCTAAAGGCAATATCGAAAGATTTAAAGCTAGACTAGTGGCCAAAGGTTTCACTCAAAAAGAAGACATTGATTATAGAGAAACTTTCTCTCCAGTATCTAAGAAAGACTCACTTAGAATCGTTATGGCTCTTGTAGCTCATTATGATTTGGAGTTGCACCAAATGGACGTGAAAACCGCTTTCTGAATAAGGATTTAGATGAAGATATCTATATGGACCAGCCTGAAGAATTTGCAAAACAAGGAAATGAACACTTGTCTTGTAAATTAAAGAAATCCATATATGGACTTAAACAAGCTTCTAGACAATGGTATATAAAATTCAATGATACCATTACTTCATTTGGATTTAAGGAAATCACTGTTGATCAGTGTATATATCTAAAGGTCAGTGGGAGCAAGTTTATCTTTTTAATCTTATATGTGGATGGTATTTTACTGGCAAGTAGTGATTTTGGTTTACTTCACGAAACCAAGAATTATCTATCCAAGAATTTTAAGATGGTTGACATGCGTAAGGCAAATTATGTTATTAGGATAGAGATCTTTAGAGATCGATCTCAAGGATTGTTAGGCTTGTCTCAGAAAGGATATATCAATCGAGTTCTTGAAAGATTTAATATGCAGTTTTGTTCAGCCATTAATGCTCATATCACGAAAGGTGATAAATTAAATGAAAAGCAATGTTGAAAGAATGATTTGGAAAATGAGAAAATGAAATTGATTCCATATGCATCAGCAGTTGGAAGTTTGATGTATGCACATACTTGTACTAGACCAGATATTAGTTATGCAGTGGGTTTACTTGGTAGATATCAAAGTAATCTGGGAATAGAACATTGGAAAGCAACAAAGAAGGTTATGATGTATCTTCAGGGAACAAAGGATTACATGCTTACTTATAGAAGATCAGACCAATTAGAGGTTATTGGTTATTCAGACTCCGATTTTGCTGGTTGTTTAGATAGTAGAAAGTCCACATCGGGCTTTGTATTTCTACTAGCTGGTGGAGCAATCTCTTGGAAGAGTGTAAAGCAAAGTATTATTGCTTCTTCCACAATGGAGGCTGAGTTTGTAGCATGTTTTGAGGCCTCGAGTCATGCACTATGGAATTTTATCTTAGGGCTTAAGGCTGTTGACTCAATTGCTAAGCCTTTGAAGATATATTGTGTTAATACCGCAGCCGTTTTATTCTCGAAGAATGGAAAGTGGGAGAATTCTAGTTTTATTTATTTAATGTCCCATTGACCTTTGTATTTAATGAATTAATTGTGGGTAATTCAAGTATGGAATTAATGTTGATTTTATGGTAATTGATTTGTAACGTTGATGGCAAAACGACCATGATGGGTGGCATTTGTCTTCTGCCGTTACAAATCAATCGTGACCCTCTTCTCTCGTCTAAAAAAGAATTCACAAGTCTTCTCCTCAACCATCAGACGCAATTTGAGAATTCCATCAATCACAGAACACTAGTGAGTTGTGATTTGTGATATTAGAGAGATAGAGAGAAGAAGGTGTGCGTACGAGTAAGGTTCTCCCAAGGAGATTCAGAGGAGGTCTGGTTAGGGTCAGCTTGTAGATTGCTATCGACTATCGTCAATCGTTCATCGTCTCTATCGAAATCCATGGTGAACGGTATGTCGATAATCTCAATTATGTATGTTCTTAAAATGAATTTGATTTCAAGATTATGTGATTAGGGTTTTTCTCATAAAGTTAAATAAAAGTCTTTTAAAAAAATATATTATATATATATATATATATATATATATATTAGAGGGTCAGAGACCGATTACAAGGAAGGAGCAGTAGTTCATCTATTAAAAATATATATATGTGTGTTTTATGTTAAGAAAAATATTTCTCATTAGTTCAACTGTTCAACATAATTAAATATAAGTGTAAATTTCATTTCCCCCCTTTACTTTGGCTTGATATAACTTTACCTATTACATTCTCAATTATATCGATTTAACACCCTGTACTTGAAAAATTGTCTCAATGAGGCCATCTCTGTTAGTTCTTAGACATTTGATCTAAGTCTAAAATTACAAAAAACCACCCCTCCATTTAAATAATTATTAAAAAAAATTAAAAATAAATTGTGGTTGCCGCCATGGACTATACTTTATCGTTGTCTTGAATTTCTTTTTTTTTTCTTTTTTTTGTTTTTTAATAATTATTTAAACTGGGAGGGGTGGTGTTTTTGTAATTTCAGAGTTTAGATCAAACGGTGTTAATATTAAATATCTGACGACTAACACCGAGGGTCACATTAAGATAATTTTTCAAGTAAAAGAGGAAAAATCAATAGAATCAAGATTAGAAGAAGATAAAGTGATATCGAGCCAAAGTACATGTGATAAGTGGAATTTACCCTAAATATAATGTATAAGAATATAATATATTATTATATAATAATCTTGATTGTACACAGCTAATTAGGGGTGGTTTCGGTACGGTTGCCGAATATTTTGATCAATACGGTGTACCTACCGAATTATATGGTATTGAAAAATTCGATACCGTTACCGTACCAACAAGTGCGGTATACCGTTATTCGGTATACCGTTACTTTCGATACGGTATATCGGTATATGGTACTCTACCGTTAATTTTAATTTGTTATACTTTGAAGACGATCTTTATAAAAACACAATACTTGAAACAAGAACATTGGCTATTTATATAATCTTATTCAATTTTTCAAAGCTCCTTCAATATTTATCAAATTTTAACTTCATTGATTTAGTGACACCTTGCAAAATAAGATTACTAGAGTCATGATCTTTTTTTTCAATCTCAATTTGCAGCTCTATTATTTCAGTGAAAACCAAATGGGATGTATGTTTTTTTGTTGCACTAAGCTTCAATGTTTTCTCATAATTTTTTAAGAACTGTATTTTAACTTTTTTAAGTTTCGACCTATTTATTTTATGTAGTAATTTTAATTTTAGTTAATTATTAACCAATATAAAATAAATATACATTAATTAAATTATAAAATTCAAATTTGTGGTACGGTACGGTATTCCCATGGTACTGAAATACAATACCGCTACCGTACCGTATAATAGTGGTACGGTACTAATACCGTACCAAATGTAATGGTTACCAAAGTTTCGGTAA